ATTCCGCCTTGTTGTGTTTTGTCTTGTTGGCGGCATTCCGCCTTGTTCTGGTTTGCCAGACTCCCAGACATGTCCCACTGTCATGTGTGCATGCTGCAGCGTCAGTTGCCCCACGGGCGCTGAATGCAACAGTGCATCGCCCATGTGCAAGACAATGTGTCACAGCGCGAGACAAGACAATGTACATAACTTAACATATATTTCCAACCGCAAACATATACCATGACGGTTCTAGTTTTCACCCTATTTGTTCACCCTAATTTTTCTCAAGCCATGGCAGCGCTTTTGATGCCTATGTTTGTCTCCACAGATACGGCAAGCTTGCCAGAACCATTCCGAGGCCATTTTGAGGCGAACGGAATGAATGGCCGTTGGGTAAAATGCCCATTGCACAGAGGCAGCCACGGCAACAACGATTGGATGTTTCTGGTCGTTCCAGGCTCCTTGCCCCAAGTGGCGCCGCAGCTCTGGAACAGTAACTTTTCAGTGGCCGTGGCTTTCGCAACCTTCCCAGCTTCCATGGAACACTTCCAGGGCGCAAACAGCCCCTCAGAGCCTATCTCCTTGGGGGAGATAGAGACAACGGCAGAAACGGCTCCGTTTTTTGAAGCCTGCGTTCAAGGCGTTGACGTCTTGGTCAACGCAATGACAGGGCCTCGGCATCAAGGCCGTCAGCGCCGCAGGCGCCTCAATGAAGTCCGCAAGGATTTTACATCCATGCTTGCTCAGTGTGCGCCTGGGAAAGGCAAGGTGTGGGAAGCCATTGGGCTCTCGGTGCAGAGCTTTCTGGAAAACAGCCAACAAACACAACCACAAGAATTGCCGCAGTGGGACCGAGCCCAGCAATACTTCACCGCAGCAAGCCAGACTTGGGCAAAAGGGGTGGAGCCGGGCTTCCAAAATCCCAGTTTGACCACTGCAGCGGGCCTTGACATTTTGCGGAGCATGCTGCGGCGGAGGATGTGGCAGATGGTCGAAGTTGGTGAAGTGGCTGCAGTGCACAGCGGCTATCTCACCAAACACAAGACCCACCTCAAGCTGTTTGTGCCTTTGGGGCAAATCAATAGCAAAAACTACGAGGTGCAGACGTGGTCGCAACGCATGGCCTGGGTTGCCCGGAGGCACACATGGGAGGAGGCGTTGCGAAGGGAGGAGCCGCTCTGGGACTGCGGCGAAGTTTTCTTGGTTGATTCAACCAATTTGGATCTGACCAGGCTCTCCCTCCTCCCCAACCACACCGCCATGCCCTTTGAAACTGAAGACGCAAGCTTGCGGGTGGTGGTGGCGATCTCGTCCAGTGTGCACGAGTTCATGTTCGCATACAATTGCTTGCGCCATGCACTCCTCAACCTCCAGGAGATACAATACACACGATATAATATATTGTCTTCGGTTGTTCCTTATTTGCTAAATTTCCTCCCGGTTCAATTTTCCATTTCGAATTGGCTTGACAAGGCACACCCCCTTAAGTTTTTCAGGGGCCCGTGTTTTACGCCAGGAAGAAGTCACCACAGATGCGCAAGCTTTGGCAGCTGCTTCTTCCTCATCTCCCAGCTCAGTTCCCCGCTCCACCAACGCAGGGGTGCTGCGTTGTTGGCTGGCTTTGGCTTCGCCACCATCAGCCAACTTCAGTTGCCCTACGGGCGCTGAACTACAAATGCAGCATTTAACTTGGGAGCAACAGGCAGCAGTCACTTTTGTGTTAAGGCAGCAACTCTCACTGGTGGACTGCTTGGCCGGAGCTGGGAAAACGACAGTATTGGCACAAGTGGCCAAGCAACTTACAGAAGGGCTCGACCCCAGTGAATACATAGCGGTCGTTGCGCCCAACAAAAGCATGGTGCAGCGCCTGCTCAAAATTTTGCGGGCCGCTATGCCCGGCACGCTCGTGGCACCCATGGGTGTAGTTTGGTCAGACGACGGAGAGGCCGTCGACTTGCTTCTGGAATGCATAGAAGAAAGGTCCCAAGCTGCGTGCCAAAGTGTTTTGGCGCCAGTAGCGGCAGCCAAGCAGCAAATCAACGCTGCCAACGCTGCACTTGCAGCTGCTGACAACTGGTTTGGCTGGTAAGCGCCATGGAGGAGGCTGAGGTTGCTCCACTCATTGCTCCACATTTACCTTTTTGTTCAAGTGTATGAGGCGGAAGCAACTGCCCGGAACAATGTCTTGGCTTCCGTCAAGGTCTTGGTTGCCACGACCAGCTTCATCAGGAAGATGTTCGGGTGCTTGTCGCCTTGGGTGAGGAGCTTCAAAGACAGAACTTTGAAGTGGGTGTTGGTGGACGAGGCCCACCAAGACAGCTTTCTCCAGCTGTCAGCCATCCTGGCCAGAGCCCCGCGTGCAGCCCTTTTTGGAGACGGGCTACAAGAGCACGCGCCGTCCACTCAGAAGGAGTTTGCAGATTCTCTCCAACAAGATTCTGCGTTCACCTGGGCGACAAGGGCAGCCATTCCAAAAATCACTTTGCCAGTCTCCTTCCGCTACGGCGACATGATCACCGGCGCCCTTCGAGCAACGGGTGACTGTGCCCTGGCAAGCAGCCACGAAGACGCTCCCAGCACCCTCCTTTTGCCACTGCTGTTTGAGCATTGCTCAAACGTGGCGTCGGTCAGCAAGGAAATTTTCTTCCACACAGCAATTTACACCCACTTGGTGCATGCCCTTTGTGTGGAAGCCTTGCTGGCCGGCAGAAATGGCCACCATGTCTCCATCATGGTGATTGCTTTCTATGTTTTACAAAGGGTCTTTTTGGAGCAACATCTGGTACAATCAGCGCTGGCCTGTCTTGGGCCTGTCGCGCACTCTTTGGGAGTAGCCACAACGGAGATGGCCGAGAACATCATCCAAGCCGTGCAATTTTATTTGCCCAACGCATCTGGCGGCTCTGAGTGTGATGTCTCCTTTTTGTACTTACCCAGGCGGAGCGACAAAGACGGCGTGTATGCTGGCACGCACCTTCTGAGCTCAGCTTGGCGGTACATTGCCTTGACCCGTGCTTCCCAGCGTTGCTACGTCCTGCTGGAATGTCTAGCAGAGGTGACTCAAGGGCATGACAGCCAGCGACACAAAGCTGAGAAGTGGCAACATTTCATCACATACTGCAAAAGTGTCTGGGACCAGTTGCAGGTGGAGCACCGCTATCAGATATCAGAGGCTTGGGCATGGCCGTCGAACATTTACACTTCAGCAACTTGGAAATCCAAAATGCTGGATTGCCCTTGGAGCTTGTGGCAGACTTCCTTGCAGCGCGTTGTGCAGTATATGCAAGGCTTCAGTCCTCAGACCCCAAACAAAGGAGAAGCGCCAGTCCAATTTCGGGCCCTCTTCGACAACCCGCAGTCATTTTCAAACAGTGTGTTGGCCTCAGAAGATGTGGACCACATGGTCACGCACCTGCCAGACCTGCAAGCAAGGTACCCGGTCCGGTACATGGATGACGGCCGGCTGCAAGAAGCTTTGACGCGGCAAGCCCAAAACGTCCTATGGAGCGCGCAAGACTATTTTTTGGACGCCTTGTGTGTCAACATCAAGCAGAGCGAGATCACTATCAGCCTGCCACTGCTTCTACACAGCAGCTCCTGGAGCGCGCCGCTGGACGCATCCAAGGTGGCCCACGCCCTTTTTCTTTCTTTCGTGGATGCGGAATTGCGCCACGCTCCCTTCATGCCCTTGGTGGTCAGGCACAAAAAGGAAGAGGTTGAGCTGCAAAATGAACTTTTCGTGGAGGCACAATGCCGCTCCGACCGGCCTGGCTTTGCCATTGTTGATCCTGATGACCACCAGGTCTTCAAGCTATACAATGCAATGGGCCTCGGGCACCAACACGAACATTTACGCACACTTTTGGCTAGAGTGCGCAGTGCACAGCTTGCAGTGCAGTGGTGCCGCTTTTTGTCGCAAGAGAGCCCGTCCAAATTTAGAGCCAGCCAGGTCAAGGGAGATGAGGAAGCCTTGAACCATTGGGATTGGCGCGGGGAGGTTGAGAAACAAAACCTTGCCAGCAGTCCTCCGTTGCCAAGCCTCTCAGATTGGCTGCTACAAAACACATGAAAAAAGCGTTTGGG